ACAGAAAGCTGTGCATTTTCTTGCCCCACAGAGGCCCTGCCCACATCAACGCCATTTTCCTGCCATCAGCCCCTTACAGCCACCATTTTCCCTGATCACCACCAGAGGACTTTTTTTTAATAAGGCCCGCAAAAGCTCTCCAGTGGTGCAGCAAGGAAGAAATGCATGGAAATTGGCAGCTGCAAGGGGCTGACAGAGGAAACTGCTCTGAAAACGCCCATGTGAGAGGTTCATCACCAATGCACGTACCTTTGAAATTACAGTAGCAATCAAAGTAACACACAGGTGAGGAAGCAGTCTTAGTTTACTGAGAAGTGATTCCACCAATTACACTGATGCTTAACAGTGTAACCCTAAATAAATTACACCCTCCTAAACCCAGTGATTTCAATGGGTGTAACTGTTCAGGATTGCACTGTAGCCTCATCTGCAACCTAAGACTACAAATCTATGCATGCCTATTTTGGACATAAGTCTTAGACACCTCAACAAGACTTGCTTCCAAGTAAAACAGATCATGACTGAAAAGGTTTTGCAGCACCTTATGGTTATGCTTAAAGACAGCACACAGTTGTTACTCTGGCTGCAGATTCACATCGCTATTCATCTGAAATGTTTTATTGGGAACACAAACCCCGTGGAAATAGGTAGAGCTTTCTTAACAATACACATGTATTTGCCTTCAACACTTTTATAGGCTGCAAACTCTCATTCACAATTGTCTCTCAATGTAGCTTTCACGCATAAAGTCACGGCTATGACCTTATCCGCGCTTACCCGTCCTCAAGTAGGACTTGAGTAAACTCTCAAACTGACTGTAACGAACGGATTGTGAATTGTTTTCCTGCTACTACGCAATCTATATTTCTCCAAGCAGCCGTCTAAAGGGACAGAGAACGAAGGAAGGAGAAGAGAGGTAGCAAATGAGCACGCTGCTGCGCACGCGCCCCCTGCTGCCGCTTCACCTGCAATCCCGTAGTACTGCGAGGCGGCGCAGGCCAAGCGCCCGGGCAGGTAGGGTGAACTCTCTACTGCGTAGCCGTGGCGGCCGGGCAAGCGAAAGACCTCCGCCCTCGGAGGCTTCCTCCCGACGCTCCTGTTGCTACCGTGGCTCATGGCCTCACCACCAGGCCCGGGCTGCGCTTGATGACTTCGGGGGCGAGGGGGGGGGGAGGGAGGGTCTGGCTTCCCCGCCCAACGAACACTGGCGAACGACTTCAAAAGCGCCCGCTCCCGTCCTCGTATTTACGCCCCATATCAGACCTTAGGGGAAGTGAGGGAACTGTTACTACTTCCGCCATGTTGGGTGTGGGCGAAAGAACCGCCTCTCAAGGTGTTGGTTTTTGAGGGCAGGGAGGCCTAAGCAGCTACGGTCTTACGGGTTTTGAGACATCTTCCGGTCCACGATTGCAGCTAGTTGAATCTTCCATATGCGGGGCAAGAACAATAGGAATGGATAGAAAATGAAGTGAAACCTCACAGCAGGCAGGATTAGAGGTTCCCTTTCGTCAATGGCTTGAAATAATAATGGTCTCTAAACAGAAAGTAAGAAAGAAGCTCCGGAGGGCGAGAAATATTGCGGGGACGTGCACCTGTACTTTTAAAATCTTAAGATAGCGGTTCAACAGGTATAGTATCAGAGAAATAAAATAGAAGTCCAGTGGTACCTTACAGACTAACAACATTTATTCCAGTGTAAGATTTAGTGAGATCTCATCTCTTGTCTTTAAAGGTGCCACAAGAGTTCTATTTTATTATCCTACAGTGGACTAACACGGCCACCCTCCTAATTATCTTACAGAAAAACAGTGGTGGAGAAAGCTGCATCTAGTAAACTCTTGCCTATTATAGACTGTTTTAAAGGAACATGACTTTCCCCAGCTCATTACACCGTCTGCGATGTCCAAACATACGTCGAAGGGGCGCTGGACAATCCCGTCCCCCGCGCTCGAATACGCCCTTCTGTTTTTCTCACCGTTCCTTGAAAACGAGGTCTTGTGGGTGGCGCTTTAGAGAAATGACTCTGAGATGGGATTCTCTTTGGTTTTGCTGCGCCAACTACTGTTCGTTTCCTGCCAATCTCTCGCTTTTGTCTCTGTAGAATATTATGTGTTGTAAAGAAATGTTGGCTTTAAATTCTGCCAGTGGGGTAGAGTTTCTCTTGCAGAGGATTTCTGTTTTCCCCATGCACATTCCTTTGAATTCTTATTAAATGCAGACACGGAACTCCCACTTTTAATTCTAACTTCTTCTCCTCTCGCCTACCGTTCCGCCCAGCTATCTTTCTTACAAGAATTCCGGAGTTCAGCCAAACGAGTGAGTAGCTTCTCCAGAGAGCAGGATAGAGTGGGCGATTATTTCAAAGCGCAGCAACGAAAAGAAGCCTTTACCCACATCTGTTTTATTTAGTTTAATTCTTTAAAATGTCGATTCTTATTTATTTCCTCCACCCCTCTCACGGACATAGAGGATTCTGATCGGAAGTGACATCTGTGTGGAGTTCTTGTCTCTTTGGGAAACTCTGATGGCTTCTCTTGAATGCTAATAGGCATGCGTGAAGCATTTCGTAGGCGCTTTCTTTCACATCACGGCGCGCTTTTAGCTTTTTAAAAAATATATGTGAGGGAAAGAACTTTCACTACACCATCTTTGATTTGGGCGGAAAGGTCTATGTTCCTGGGTTCTGTGGAAGCTGTAACCCCACGACCCCACCGTTCACTTACCCCCCCCCCAAGTTTTAAAGTAGGAAGGCCGCTTTTTTTTCTGGCACAGTGCTTGATGATCGGAAAAGAAAAGGAAAAAAGGTATTAATGAACGTTGTACCATCATATATTTCCTGTTTTCTTGTTAATACTACACTTACATTTCATTTTGAGTATCTTTTACGATATACCTTGCCTTAGGCAGCTTGTTGCTGGTCTTGTTCATTGGTTACTTTATGCTGCCTGATTGCACTGTTTTATATTTCATAATCCGCCTGGTCAGCAAGAAAGTCTGGCTATTAACAAAGTAAATAAATAAATTTACAAATTAACTCTTATATTTGCTTTGTGTTAATCAATAGATATCAATAAAGCCTCAGAGTTGACCATATCAGGTAGGAAGTGACTCAGATTATACACAGATCAACTAAACTGGCTCAGTGAATTTGCTTGCCACAGCCATAAATTGAAATAAAGCATCCTTAAAGACTGGCATATTTATTGTGGCATAACTTTCCTTAACTAGAGCCCAGATTTAGTGTTAAGATGACAGCCTTCAGCCTCAGGTGGGTAGCTGTTTTGGTCTGAAGCAACAGAACAAAGTTTGCAGTTGAGATCTGATGAAGTGTGCATGCACACAAATGCATATACTCAGAATTAAACTTTATTGGTCTTAAAGGTGCCACTGGACTCAAACGTTGTTCTCTGGCCTTCAGTCTGTTCAGGGGCAGGCAACGTCTGGCAGCTTTACAGCCTAGTGCCATGAATGTTTACTTCAAAGAAAATTCAACTAACTTTAACAGAACTTACTCCCAAATAAATGTGCATAGGACTGAAGCAGTGTTCCCTGTAAGCTGAGTTAGTGTGAGTTGGCTCACAGTTTTTTAGCCTCCAGCTCATACATTTTTGCCTTAGCTCAGGAAGGATGGCTCCAGAGCAAACTAATTCATGCAGTAGCCAAATTGCTTGCTCATAACTTTAATGCCAGTAGCTCACAAAGGAGAATTTTTGCTCACAAGATTCCACAGCTTAGAGGGCGCATTGGACTGAAGTCTTCCTATCTGTACCATTCCATCATGTGAATACATTTGTGTATGACATAAATCAAATGAGTCAGTATACTTTTATCAGTTATTGCTCTCCAAAAGTTTCAGTGGGAATGTTTTACGGCATTTGTTTTTCTAACACTGAATTTGGAATGAAAAACAATACCATGTACAAGCCAGGGCCATGTTGATGAGCCTGAAGCACTTTCTGCGTGGACAAGTTATCATTGCTGTTATCAACAATCCTGAAAGGTTTAATCAGTTTCAGGCTGAAGTGCGTAGGTAGCTGAAAGATAAGCAGGATGAATAATGAGATTTGCAAAAGGGTTATGCAACCACGAAGCATTTTTATATATATGAAAGCACAGTTTTGTTCAGCTAGATGTCTTCTCTTGATGCACCAGTTTTATCTAAAATGCCTTATGTGCGCACATAAAAAAATGAAACAATATCTTCACCCAAAAATAAACCAAAATATTTTTTTTAATATGAAGATTTATCATAGATAACTTATAATGTTGTTTGCTGACAATCTCTTTTGGGAATCCAAGATGTGGCCTTGCTACTTGGAAAACTGAGAAAACAAAATTTATCTTAGCAATTCTCAAATATTATCCAGATATATCTTCTTAATTAAAAGTAAGGGGGGAGGTTTGATCATCTCTAAGTGTCATAATAAGTCTCAAAGTTGTGGCTTACTGTTGTCCGAACCCTGGGGACAAGCAGGTTTGAGAACAGGGAAGGGTATGGTTTTTGTGGTGTGGTTTTTGTGGTGTGCTTCAGGATCTCCAAGAGAGAAGCCTGCAGCTCCCAACAGTGTTGCCAGACATAAGGTATCTCATATATGAATGTGAATCTGGGAGCCCTGTATGAGACCTTGCTCAATTTTGGTACTAACCGTTTTTGGGAAAGCTGATTGCTGACAATCCCTAGAATGCCCAGGAGCAAGTAAAAACATGAGGGGAAAGCATGCTGGATGAGGGCAGGTTTTTTTTCTTCCCCAGTGAAGTTACCCCTGTGTGGAGGGGGGACACTGTTGCGTGTGCGTTTCCTCTGCATTTGTAACAACCATAGCAACAGCAGCAGAATCTAGGGATGAGAGAGTTTCCTTCTCTCGTGGTTTGAACAGGTAATGGAGGGAATCACTTCCCTCTTGAATTGCCACATGTGGAAGTACAATAGAAGAGTTTTTCAAGAGATGGGGAAATCTTAAATTGTTAGGTTTGATATGCTTCTTATGTGGGGAATTGCTAAGAAAATAGCAGCTGTGTTCCATGTCCAATATGAGAATTCTGTTCAAAAACTGCGAAGTTTGAGGCTATGGTACAAGGGTTCTAAATTAATCATACAGAGGGCCGAACTAGATGTGAGGTGGAAGACCCTTAATAAGATCCCCTGATGTATCGTTTAGCCTTCAAAAGCACCCAAAGGGAGTATGGACTAGAACTTTAGTACAGGTAGGGCTGCCAACTCTGGGCTGGGATATACTTGGAGATATTGGGGGTGGAGCCTAGCAAAGGCAGGCTTTGGGGGAGGGGAGGGACCTCAGTCAGGTATAATGACACAGAGTCCACCCTCCAAAGCAGCTATTTTCTCCAGGGGAACTGATCTCTGTAGCCTGGAGATCCACTGTAATTCCAGGAGGTTTCCAGGCCACACCTGAAGGTTGCCAGCCCTAAGTCCTGGGGAAGGGGGGGGTTAGCATCCTCCTAGACTACGACAAGACTCTCCAGGGGAAAAAAGACAGGCCAACAAAGGGTGTCTGGCATTTCTCCGTTCTGGGGCAAATAGTAGCCACGTTGCATGTGTGACTGGTTTTCACTAGGGAAATACAGCAAGAGGTAAAAATTTAGAAAACCCTTCCCCAAGCACTGCATCCCAGATATAAGTCTGGGTCGGTTTTACCAACCCTGAGGAAGGGCGTAGAGTTTCCCCAGAATTAGAATTGATCTCTGGACTGGAGAGGTTAGTTCCCCTAGAGGAAGCAGCCACTTTGGAAGGCAAACATCATGTCCCCACTGAGCTTCTCCTCCTCCCCAAACTCTACCCTTCCTATTTACTGTCCTGAAATCTCCAGAAATTTCCCAATCCTGAGTTGGCAATTGTAGCCTTAGGGACACAAGTAGCTACTTGTGAAGGTAAACTTTGAGTTCACCATAAGTCAGCTGAATGGCACTTTCCACCACCAGTGTTAGCAGACCTATTAATAGATTCCTAGATCTTCTTGGCCAAGGTTGCTAAGAACTATCACAGGCTGGCAGGTCTCTGCATCCCGCTAACACCTTCCAGATCCACGCCAAACATAATATCAAAGCAAATAAAAAAGTGTGCTCAGCTCCATGGCCACCCAGGGTGGCAAATGCTCCTGAAATTCTATTCCCCTGGTATTGGTACTGCAGGGAAAAACCTGCACTATCAGAGGATAAGTTGAAGAACAGCTTGTGCAGCCATAAATACTGCACTAACTTATTTGGTGCTCTGCCTCTAGGCCAAAACAACTTACAAAAAAAGCAGTCCTGTCAGGAAGGAGTTAGATTAAAACTTCTGTTTTCTTT